AGCAGGGCGCCCAAACCCTCCCGAGGCCTACTGACAGCCAGGGCACGACGCTAGGGCACAGCAGCAGGCTGCTGGAATAGCACAGGAGTCTTTCCTCTTTGGAGGCAAGTTAGCAGTCTCCCTGCTCTGAGCACCCATGATAAAATCCTCTCCTTCCCCCCTCGTGACAGTGCAACATGGGCAAGCTCTCTACTGGCAAAAAGGCTTCTTGAACTGGAAAACGGTGCGCTTGTCCCCACGCACCAGGTACAGTTTCTCCTGAAGGACCTGGAAGGCCCAAGGAAGGCCCACAGCTACCTGGAAAAATGGAACAAAACAAAGAAAAAAACCCTGGGTAATCCAAGATTCATTTTGTCTGTGTACATACCCCTGGTCTTTTTATCCACTGTTTTGTTTCCTCTCTACTTGTTCTCATGTAGGCTACCTAAAGACACTTGGGGAACCAATAAAGTAATTTAAGTCCTGAGCAGACCACAACATTTAGCTGGAAGCAAGCGAGTGGGGATGAGCCAGATTTACAGATTGTAAAGCAAAGACACAGTGAGACATCTCGCCTGACCGAGCCTGCCACACTGGCCACATACCAAGCACCGCATCAAAGCCGCAACTTCCACCGTCAAAGAAGGACTCCAGTGATGAAAAAGCCACCATCTCTCCATTTAAATTGCTTTCATGGTTACTTATAATCTTACCCCTAGTATGATTCACTTCCAACAATTCACTTCCACAAAAATTAGCTCCCCCGACAACCCCCGCCTTTGATAAAGGAAAGTTCCTTCTGCTCTAATAAATTTTACACCCTTTGCTCCTGCCCTGTTCTCAAGGAAGGCTCCTGGGGTTTTCACTTTCTGTGAAGGAATGCTGCTGTGAGCGTAGTTTCTGGCTGCAGAAGGCGACTGTGGTTAGGTTCAAGATTTCTCTAACAGATTAAACCTGTAGTACGTATTTACATTAATAAAAGCGTTACATTAATAGTACTGTACAAAGATTCCACTAAATTATGTATTGACAGACTAAACATTTTTTAGTCAATTATTGAGCCATCACTACATTTAACTACCTATAAGCTAGCTATAGCATGCTTAGCTTTATAGTTTACTGAAAATAGTATTTAAATTCAGCATTAATCGAAGCCCACCTGTTGGCACGGAACTTCTGGTCAGCAGCACGGGATTGAACCAAAGCCTTTTAGGAGCACGGGAAGGGCTGCCGCTAACTCCAGCGCTGCAAGACTGAAGCCAGCAGTGCTAAACCTCAAATACAGCTTCCTAAAAGCAGGAACGGCGCACAGCTTTCCTGGGCCACTTGTGCGCTGTGACACTTACGTCGGTGATGAACGACAAGTGCCTAGCCAAGTTCCTCGGTCTTTATTTAGACAATAGAAGCTTTGTCAATATAAAGAGGATAGTTTTATTATACTGATACACAACAGAACGCTACTGCTGGGGCTCCCAAGTTACACATAAAGATAGCTATAGAAAGCGAATGTACACGTGTCAGAGAGCGTATTGAAAGAAAAAATTCTTTAGAAAATGAGGCCACGTACTAGGAACTTATTCATACCTGCAAGAGCGTAACGCAAGTTCTTCTTCCTGCATTTCAGGCCTCACTGCGGCGGGCTGATCACGAACCAAGGACATGTTTAAAATGGACAGACCGCTGTTCTTGATACTTAACACTGATTTCTTCTAAATGAAGAAGAATAAAAATACGCATGAAGAAAAACACTGCCAAAAACAGGAAAAAGAAAATGAAAAGGAGATTGCTAAAAAACAGTTTATTAGATAACTCCACAATTCTGAAAGTGGGCAGTTTTGATTAAAAGACTACCTGGGTTAAGAGAAAAGGCAAGGGAAAGCAATACATAATAAATGGAGAAAGGTAAAACTGGCATCGGTAGCACACCGACACATAACGACAGACACTGAAGAAAGAAACGCGGTGAGGAATACCAAACCCAGAAGCCGGCCTAGGCGGCCGCGGATTTGCTGCGGTGCTGGCGGGGCCCGCCCGGACCG